CCCATCGGAAGGCGAAGTCCCAACCACTGGACCACCAGGGAAGTCCCTAGCTCATTTCATTTTGAGGCTGTACTCTCCACCTGTAAGGAGTGAACTTTTTTTTTTTTTAATAACTTTAAAATCCCCCCAGGCATTGTGAGTTTTAAACTGCTCTGTCAGGGGTCAAATCAGCTAGGGCTTGAGTCTTATTCTTTGGGTGATGAGAGGCCACAAAGGGTTGCAGCGGGCAGTGTCTTCCTCTGCTCAGACCGCTTTGGCTGCCATGTGGAGAACAGACTGAGGAGCTGAGTGTTTAACTGCCGCGCAGTGTGCTCTTGGGGGAGTGGGAGGGAAGCATGTTTTCAAGTAAATATGAACAAAGGGCCTTCCAGACTATGATCTGTGATCCTGGTAGCCTGGAGTGGACACGCCTATAGGTTGTGAGAATAGAACATAGTTCTAGGAATCTAGGATTTGGGGTCCTATTATGACTTTAATCACTAACTAGGCCTAAAGTAAATGACTCAAATTACTTTTTTTTTTCAAGGCTATTAAATTTTTAACATTAGATTATCTTCACAATAATTCCTTCCTCAGATCAGTTATTAGGCATTTAACGTATACATGAGAGGCCAGAGATACAAAAAAATGTTAAAACTATAATCTAGTCAGATTTTCTCCTGAAAAAAATCAGAGGGTAAAGGAAGATTAAAAACTGTCAAGCTTATCCATGCCATTCTTAGGCCTCCAAATCATTCTTCCTCTCCCCAGTTTCAGAATTGAAAGACTGAATAAGTGTAAGGATCCTTAAAATGATTCATCTGAATTGAATAAGGCATTTCCTTCTTGTAATTGGTATTGTTAAATAAAGAGGTGCTCTTTTTACGGAATTAACTCCTGTACCTATACCTCAACCTCGAGCGCAAGCCAAATGCATGATTTGAAACCAGATTTCCCTCATAGCTAACTGTAAAAATTATGTGACAATCAAGAATCTGTGCACCTGATGAAATTTCAGCCTAACTCTCTGCTGGCTGTAAATCATTGTTCCCTGAGAAAGGCTCAGAAGCATCCCATTACCTGTGCATTGTGAGCAAAATGACTTGCATGTCTAGGTGGGAGCATTTCATTAGGAGGGAATGGTGAATAAAATAGAGTAACATTGTAAGTGCGTGGAATGGCAAATATGCTGCTCCAGGCCAGGAAGGATGAGAGCCTCAGAGGAGGCTCTGTCATGTGAGGTACACATACCCTGGTACATGGCAATATGGGGAAGAAGATTACATAGTCAATTTAAGGCCAGGCAGCGCTTCAAAATTTCCCATGATTTGTCTTTAATCATTTTTAACCTCATCCTAAGGGAGCTGGGAGTCTTCTTCCATTAAGCATAATTGCTCATTTGTTTTTAGCTGGCAGGTACATTGTAATTAAGAGTGGTTTTCAGGGCTTCCCTGGTGGCACAGTGGTTGAGAGTCTGCCTGCCAATGCAGGGGACACGGGTTCGTGCCCCGGTCCGGGAGGATCCCACATGCTGCGGAGCAGCTGGGCCCGTGAGCCATGGCCGCTGAGCCTGCGCCTCCGGAGCCTGCGCTCCGCAGCAGGAGAGGCCACAACAGTGAGAGGCCCGCGTACTGCAGAGAAAAGGAAAAGGAAAGAAAAAAAAAAAGAAAGAATGGTTTTCAGTCTCTTTTTGGCTCAGCGCTCTACTGGTTAAATGGTACTCATATAAAGAGAGGAACCAGAGTTTGCAGTGGAAGGCAAGGGGAGGAAATATTCTATCAAGGTTCTGATAGGAGACTTGTAAAATTCAAAAGGAAAATAACATACAGTTAATACCTTATTTTCAGGTAAAGATTGAGAGTAAAATCATTCAGACTCCAGTATATAAATATTGGTACATATTTATGAATATATAGAAATTTATGTTTGGTGACTAATGAAAACACAATGGAACAAAGTTCTAACAGTAGTTTTCTCTTTCCGGAAAGAGGAAACTGTCAACCAAAATCTATCTTTTAGTGGTTTCATTATAGAGTCATAGATAGCTTTAACTTTGGAGCAAAAACTCCTGCATAGAGTTCAGTATAAAGTGTCATCAAGGGAAGGCAGCAACTCTGGTGGCCTCCTGGGGGCATTGTAGCAGACTCTGTTGGTGGCCCACTCCTCTCTCTTCAGTGTCCTATGTCATAAATCCAGCTGCCAATACCTGTATGGCTTTGCCTGACAGTTTTTTCCTAAAGCTGCCCCAAATGCACGAGTTGCTATATAAATATCCCAGGTCCCTTGCCCCTGAGTGGAATAACTCCCAGGTATATGTTTGATACTGTTTCTTAGAGTTTCCCCATGGGAGTGACTCCCTGTTGCCCACAGTGGTATGTAGCTCTGTAACATATCTGTTATCGGTCACCTGCTTTTCCCTTTATCACTTGCCCTTCCTCCTGCTGGGTTTTTTGTTGTTTGTTTGTTTGTTTGTTTTTAGCACCTCCCTTATAAGCTTTCACACACCCTTTCTCAGGATCTGTTTGTGAAAGAATCCAAAGTAAGACAGGCACATTAAATACTGTAGGTCACAGGCAGAGTGGGAGCTGCACTAAATTCTCTTTCTTTATAAGTATACTTTTTTCTTTTGAATGGTGGTGGTGGTGGTTTAATCCCTACCCTGTACTCTTCATCTCCCTCCTATTTGCCCCTCAAACTTTGGTAGGAGGAGAAAGGGGCTCTAAATCATTTGTCTATGCCCTGGACTCCTAACCTAATTGCAGAACGAAATCACTGGAGGTGCTTGTTATAAACACAGGTTCCATGGCCTCATCCTTAGTCTCTCATCCCTTAGATCTTAGGTAGGGCCCAGGAATCTACTTCCATCAGTGTTCCAGATCATTCTGGTATTGCTGGTATGGTCCATCTAACAATTATTTGGAAAGCTTTGGGTCATGAGTTATGGAAGCAGCATGTGTCCACACATGGCTTCCTTGAAGAGGCATCAAGAAATGTGCATTCAAGTCCTGAGTCAGCCACCAGCCAGCATTTTTTTAATCCTAAATAAAACATTTAGCCTCCCTGAGCTTAAACAATGAACAGTTGGCCTAAATAAGCTTCCAGCTTACCTCCAACTCCAGCAATCTGTGATGCTTCATGGAAAGTTTGGTTTGGGGATGAAGTTTCTTTGGCGCTGTATCTATTGGATATTACTTCCTAGAATTTTTTCTTTTCGTGTCTTTTAGGAGCTAAAGGAGTGCTCAGGTCACGTATTTGTGGATTCTGTGCCCGAATTCTGCCTACCAGAGGTAAGATTAAAGTGTATCTTGTAGAAACAAAGCATATCTTATCATCTCTCAAACTGAAATCAGGAAATAATTTTCAGGGGCTTAGCTTCCTATTTTCAAATTGAAATGGATCTGTTATTCTAGGCACTTTGTTTTACAGCTAAAATATGAACATTTAGGAGCTTTTTATATTGTCTGTAAATCACTGAAGTCACTCTCTTCTTCCCATCCCTAGCTCTTTCTATAAATCCACATTGACACTCACACTGGAGCATAGTTTGGAGCAAGGTAAAGAAATATCTCAAGCCTTTTAATTTTGTAATTACAGTCATCCCTCGGTATCTGCAGGGGTTTGGTTCCAGGAGCCCCTGTGGATACCAAAATCCACGGTTGCTCAAGCACTTTATATAAAATGATGGAGTGCAATGAATAGAGTCAGCCCTCTGCATCTGCAGGTTTCACAGCCACAGATACAGAAGGCCGACTGGATAATGCCTGTGTCTTAGGTTAGCCATACTTTTTCTAGTCTTGGGTAATTGGGAGCTGCTGTTATCCAGTCAATACAGTAAACTGTAAAAATTCTTGCTGACTTGAAATGACATATGGAATATTGCTTGAAATTCATGGATTCTGAACTGAGTCATGGATATCTGTCGCTTACGTATTATCATCACAGTGAGACTTGTTATAAGTGTTTGAGTCCAGTTTCATTGTTTTAAAGGAAACAAAGATCAGTTTGCATTAGTCTTAAAGGAAACTAATCTCAGCTGACAGGCCTAATCCCCAGAGTGGCCTAGATGGAGTTCTCAGCTCACAGATGAAGTATAGGGAAGCCAGTAGCCAGTTCGGGGTTCCTGAGGAAATCAATAAGAAGCTACCATTCTGTTCTTCCCGTGTGCCCAGGGGATGTCAGTGCCTGTCAAAAATACTTTAACATTTCAGTGCCAGAGAAAAAAGAAATTGGGAGTGCTGTGGCCCTTATTTTTGTCCTTTCTTCCTCTCTCTCTTTCCATTTCTACAACTTCCTTTGATACCCTTTAGATAAACTTTTTTTTTTTCTCTCTTTGAAGTAGGTGATGTGCCCTTTTAGGACAGGAGAGTGAAAGAGAGGAAGAAAAACAAAGATGGACATGGTAATTGAAATTGGCAAATAAGGGAGAAAGTTTGAGGTAAACTAGTAGGAACAAGTGTGAAGGTAGACAGTTACTGAGAATCCTGAGCTCTCCCTAACTGCTAATAAAATCTTTTTTGTGATCTTCATTTGTCATTTAGGAGTTGGTGGGGCAGTTCCCCATCTGTTCAAAGATTCCTAATCGTAGGTGCTACATTTATTGTCAGTTTACTGCCTGTGGCACTGACTGCTGCAGCCTTCAGCTTGTGGCCCGCAGTGCAGGATTCCTGGCTTGGAGTTCTGGTGACTTTCTGACTTGCTCCATCAACTACTAAACTTTGAAATCAAACAGTAACACCGTTTCACAGTTCACCTTTGCCAAGCTAAAGCAGCACTGTTATATTTAGGGTTCTAAAGCCATATAGGTTTTTTCAACTAGTGTCATAATTTGTGGTTTATGACAAGTTATTAGTAGTCACTATTTTAAGGGAAACCAGGGCATTGTATGAGCAGGAGAAAATACGAGAGTTGTTGAATTAGGAGAGAGGGACTTACTACACTGTCCAATCTTGGCTGACTTGTGGCTGAGCCAGGCAGAACTGAAGTCCCAGTCCTCATGGAATTTATAATCTAATGCAGCTACCTTAAATATCTTTGTATTCCCCCAAAGTCTACACTGTAGACTGTGCATAAAGTCTAGGGCAGTATAGTAAGCAACCAATAAATTATGATTGTTTTGACCCAATTCATGGTCTGTAGAACCCAAGTGTCTGTATATAAAAGTTTAAAATTAAAATAGTCTTTATGGGATTCCACTGAGTGAAAGTATGCAAGTAAACATATAGATGTGAATATATAAACACAGTTTGGGTGTTAAATTTATTTCTCAGAGGAAAATTTTTTATGTAGGCACTCTTGATATATATTATATATACAAGCAGAAAAATATATATATATATATATTTTCCCCCCAGCTGTCCTCACCAAATTTCTTATCATTCTAGACTCTATGGGTTGATTCTTAAATAGTAAAGAGAAATTTCAAATATTCCTACCCAGTTTTTTCTGGACGTATCACTTTGCTACTATGTCTTAATCTTCTCATTTGTTTAAAAATGGTTCTAGAGAGTTAGTGGGGAATAGGACCAGCAGGATGTCCCATGACCCTTTGTTATGTGAGGATATTGTCTTGGAAGTGCAGTACACAACATGGAGTTAAGTTATGTCCTTAGACATTTTATTCACACAGATTGCCATTGCCCTGGCGGTGAGCAGCTTCTGACCTCTAATCTCCATGCTGTCCTCAGGAGCTGATTATACCTTGGCGGCTTTATTAAATCAACTTACTTTACACATAAAGTCGCCAACCAGAAGATACCCACAGCCAAAATGGCACGCTGTCTCTGTTATTTGCAAAGAGGGCACAGACATCTTTGTTACTTCTCCTCCGTGGGGGACATAGTAGCTCTGTGACCCATTCTGCTAACTAAAACTCTTTCTTGAGTTACCCCATGCTGTCCGTACTGTACCATACAGTTTCCACGGGGTAAGTTCCATGAGGGAGAGCTCAGAGACTAAGATGATGTCTCTGAACCG